ACATGCTTTTTTTTTTTTTTTTTCTCCACCTTTCAAACAGAATCCGAAATATTGGAATTATGGCTCATATTGATGCAGGCAAAACTACCACCACAGAAAGAATATTGTACTATTCTGGATACACAAGATCGCTGGGAGGTTAGAATGGATTCCTCCTCACCCCAACCCCCATTAGCAAAAACATCACTGGAAAATGTTTTAAGAAGTCAACCTAGAGATCTTGAGTATGGCATGGAAGTACTGATGTCTAAACCACAACATAAAGATAAGGTAGTTGCAACACCCACCAAAGCGTTTTCTTAGGTTCAACTCAACATTCAGACTCACAGGACTATCTTGGACAACAATTCGCCCTCGTCTACTCAGAATGCTATAGGACAGGAACCATAGCTTCCCCGCATACCAGCAATAGGTGTTTCTTTCTGCAGCAGTCCTTAATGCAGTGCACATAGCTATCTGGGAACTAACTTCTTTGGCCACTCAAAAGTGACAGTACAGGGACGCCTGGGTGGCTCAGTCGGTTAAGCGTCCGGCTTCAGCTTAGGTCATGATCTCGCGGTTCGTGAGTTCAAGCCCCGCGTTGGGCTCTGTGCTGACAGCTCAGAGCCTGGAGCCTGCTTCGGATTCTGTGTCTCCCCCTCTCTCTCCCCCTCCCCTGCTCATGCTCTGTCTCTATCTCTCAAGAATAAATAAACTTAAGAAAAAAAAATTTTAAAGTGACAGTACAGTTTAAGGCAACAGAATTCACAGGAGCTACCCTGGCTTACAAGCTTCAGGCCCCTTAGGACCCAAAACCTCTCATTACAGCTCCGTGGGCTCTCTTCCAGATTTACTAGAAAGGCTATGCCATATCCCACTCAGGGGAGCTTAAGGTTGTGTATCTCCATCAAGTACTTACAATTCATGTATAGCTCTTCCCAATTCAGATGTACCTTACCAATCACAAATTATTTTTTCTGTAAGATATGTTGCTGTGGCGTCTGGGTGGCTCATTCATTGGAATGCCCGACTCTTGATTTCGGCTCAGGTTATGATT